GAAGTTCCCAGCTAGGGTGAGGGAGGATGTGTAGGAGTTTTGGCCTTGCAAAGTGGTGAGGCAGTGGTGGCAGGTGTTTGATTGATTGTGGGACTGTGAGGCAAGGGAAGGAACTGACTGGAGGCTTGGCTGAGAAGAAATGTATGACAAATCTTGTTGGTCATGAAGATCACTGCTTGAATAATACTGATAGGATTGGTGGCATTCCATGGCTCATGTTGGAGAAGGAGTGTGAGAAGAAAGTGAATTATTATATAGAGGGTAGAGAGAATATGGGAGCATTTTAGGAGGCCTATTTAAAGATATATATAAAATAATAGATTCTATGTTGGCAAAAGGTGAAGAAGCAATATATTGTAGGGCCTGTTTATTAGGTGGGTGGAGAAGCACAGGAATTAGTTTTCTGCACTGTGCTTTGGCATCCATGATTTTTATCAAATGCTGCATTTCCTCTCTCACTCTAAACTCTAAAGCAGAGGCAGCCTGGGACAGAATCAGATGGTTCTGTACCAAAGTTTTTGGCCACCATTTGATTGATGAGTTTTGTCCATATCATTGAGCCAAGCACTCCACTAAATTTATATAAAAATAAATCCCTTTTTTGGTGGAGAAATGAAGCTAGATTCATCCAATCAATTCCCTCCACCTACAACAATATTGGTTTGTGATTAACCCAAGTTTAATTATGGTCTGATTGCCACCTAATTAAATATGATTTGATTAATTAATCTTTCTGCTGAAGACATGTGGAGATGAACAGAGCCTTCCACCTTCACATGCAAATGCAACTATACGCTGATTTCATTTGATGGGGTTTTTTTGCCTGAAAAAATTATCAAACCACCTGCAGAAGAGAAAATAAGACAGAAAGTTGATCGATTGGTTAACCAGGTTTGTGAAGCCCCATGTGACTTCGGCTTTGGCATAATTGCTTGCTTGATGGTCTATTTCAATTGACTCGTTCATTCTTGCTAGCAATATTGTTTTTTTTGTTGCTATTCAACCTCTGTTTTTTTCCCTGAAGATGCAATCAGACGGGCAAGGAGGGCCCCTGAAGAAATGGGAACCTTTGGACCTGTCAAAGAATGATAAGCGTTTTGTGCTTTCTTATATTGGTCACTATCATCTTGTAGGTACAATTTTATTTTATTTTCATCTTTTTGGCTACCAAATCATATAGTCCTTTTGGCGCATTTAAATTGTACACCCTATGACATTGACTTGCCCTCTCACCTCAATGTAGCTTTAGGGAGAGTGTAGATGTAGAAGGTAGGTTGTAAAGAAAGAACTAATAAGAAGAGAATGAGAATGATGTTTTTGGATGCTAATTGTAATTTGTATGCAAAGACCATTGGCTTATCGTTTATGCACGTCTAATGGCAAAGATGTATATAATTTATGTTAATTCTTTTTCTTTTCTTTCTAAAATTGTAAAACTCGAGAAAAGAATGAAAATGGGAGTCAAACTTTCACGATCGTATGAAGTACGAGTAGTTGATTTGTGTCTTAAATCAATTTTCTACAATGTATTAGAAAATTTTATGAATGGTTTGAAAATCATTGTGAGAGTGGTTGGCATGTTTTTGAGTCCAAATTGTCTTTTTCTTATTGCTCATGAACTATAAGAAAAGTCTCTTGCAGTCGTGTTCAATGTACAACAGAGCTTTCATCAAAAGAAGGGGAAAAAGTATGTATTATGAAGCTTTTTTTCTTTTCATTTCAATTGTGAGATTATAGTAAACCCTTCCATTTATGTTTATACTAATTAAACAGCTTTTGGTGGGACTGAAGGAAGGGACCAATTTCCTTTGAAGGAATGAAATCTTATTAATTATGAGTGTGATGAAAGCAACATGTGGAAGTGGAATATATATTCATATTCAGCAAAAGCCTTACCCACCAGCTTTGGTTTAGTTTTCTTTAACTTTCAATTGCATACATCATTATGATGCCTAAATAATGGGGTCTTCCCAGCACTAAATGCTATGACCAGAAACATATCACTGATACAATCCAACTTACTTCTCTGCACACCCTGTATGCATATTTGTGTGTTGGTCGGTCCCATCCCATGCATTCTATATGACGACAATGGCTATCGGCTCATCAACCATTCATCATTTTATGCATTTTTCTGTTCTTCCCCTCGGAGCAATGTTAAGTTCAGTCGTGCATGAATACATGAACTGATCTGACCGCTTGAGCGGTGTTAAGCTCAGTCGCACATGCATTTGTTCGTTTATACGCTATCGATCCCAACATTCTCCATAACATTATATACATAAAGCCCAATAAATAAAAGCTTTCCTCTTATTGGGTTTCATTAAAATAAGGCCCAACAAACACAATAAGGTCCAAGTCCCACCAAATCATTTTAGCATCACAACAATCCAATAGCAATGAATATTTCAAACCCAATCCACCCAACCCATTAACTTCGGAATTTAAAAGAAAAAAAGAATCATATTGTTGAATTTTCTTCATAGTGTTAAGTTCGATTAGAGTCATAATTCGGGAGATAAAATAGCTGAAAATCCTTAAGTAAATGAAAAGATTTCATAGACATTTCTTTCACATGACGGTTTGTGTGCCCTTGTTGGCCGGCAAGGGCACAAAAAACCACATAGCAAATCATGCATATTGATTTGACCTGACTAATAAAGGAGCCATATCAAATCGTTTTTCCTACGTAAACCAAAGAAACATTCAGGTCAAGAGGGTGGTACCACAGCATAAGCTAGCTTAGGCATCAAGAAACGCTTCTTCCTGCCACATGTTTCCCTTTTTTTGAAATACCTAAAAGTAATTTATTTACTAGTGACACGAGGATGCTAACTTACTAAATGGTTGCTTAGTGGTCACGCAGCTTGGCTCCTTGGATTTTCTATGCTTGGCTTTTTTCTACTTGGCTTTTTCTTGCTTCATGGCAATCATTCTTTCGTCTTCTGGTTCAAAATCATCGCTCTCACTGAGTCATAATATCATAAACCATATAAAAGTCACGTGCCATACAAATGTAACATAATTGAAACATAACAATTAATATCCTAGATGAAAACACAAGAAACGTGAAGGAAACTTACAGTGAGAAGCTGAAATTGAGTGAGAAAGAAATAGAGTCCTTCACATCCACAGCACAAATAGTTGAATTTAAGGTCTTGATATGGCTTTCTCCTTCTCCAACAACAATTTGAAACATGGTGATACAAATATACTGACGATCTGTACAATTTTTCTGCTCGCCAGTCAGAACATGACAAAAATCATGGTTCCCCAAATGAACCAAATATTCTGTCAAACCATATTTAAATGGCCAATCGATAATCTCCAGTCCAGATAATATTAAAGGTTTGCTTAGTGAACAGGCAGTACAACCTTCATCACCTTCATCCATCTTAACAGTGAATTCCATAATCCCCATACTAGATAAGGCATAGATAGTTTTGCCTACAACCACACCCCTCCCCTGAAAAGGAA